ACTCTGGCAGAGCATTGGACCATCGGGTCTGTACTGTCAAGCTGTGACCCGGTCACACCTGCCCCCGAACACTTCTTGGAGAGCCATATCCACACCAAAAATTCCCAGCCTGTGAAATTCGCATGAAGATTAAAGGAGACTATGTATAATGTGTCCAGTGTGTTAGAAGGTCAATAAGGTCCATTTTCACTTCAGTTGTCCCTCTGTTCTTATGTCGGCCACTCCTCCAGAAAGTGCCTGAAATGTCACTCAGTCACCACACTTACACCTAGTGGAGGTTAGGGATTGATTCCAAGCGTCAGTTTTGCCATTTGCAAATAAGAAATGACAGCTTATTGTGAAGATGAAAATCCATGAGTTAAGGAAGCAATTAGCATAGTGTCTGCTATAGAGTAGATGCTACGTAAATATTTTGGGGGCAGGGAAGATGAGGGGAAGAAGAGAGAACCAGAACAGCCCCCAGGTGCTCATTTATACCGGAGGTCACTGCAGTGCCCAGTTCCTGGACACAGACCCCACTCAGCTCCACCCAGAAGTGGGCAGGAATGTTCCAGAGAATGGGAAAAGTCCTGCAGACCTGCTCAGTGCCATCGATCAATATGTTTTATGATGGATCTAATTAAGCTCTCTAACGAGGGATCATGAGATGACAATTTATCCCAGAGCCATCACTCATTAAAATGCTATTTCAGGAGATGACATCGTTCCAGCCTTAATTGGCGGAGTTCGCGTGACTGGAATCCCTCGGGAGCAGAGATGCCCCTTGTCATTTCTGCGTCACCTCTGTTGTAAGGGGCTCCAAGGGTTCCTGAGAGGCACATGAACTCATCAGACATGGCACTGGCACCAGCTCTCTTTTCTCTGTCTCGTCCCAGCAGGTCATGGACAGGTCAGTAACAGGAGGCTGGGGACCCCAGCTGTGCAGATTCACACTCAGCAGCTGAAGCTGAGATTTTGATCAGCTCCATCAGCGTCAACCATCTATTAGTCTATACGCAACTGTCAGTCTTGCTTCTGAAGCCTCAGTTTCCTCATCTGTAACAAAATCTTAAAGATGCCTACCTGCCACTTCAGTCTATTATTTAGAAGGTGATCTGGAGACATTTATGGGGTAAGAGCACAGGTTTCGAAGTGACGGTCTTTAACTTTAAATCTCTGTTCTAGGACTCATTTGTGGTCTTGTGTGACTTTAGATAAAGTACTGTGTACTCGGGCTAAATTACTTTGTGGCACGAGATAAATTGCTTAGCATCTCTGAACTTCAATTTAGTCCTGTGTGAAATGGAACAATACTGCTGATTACTTCAACAGGGTTACAGGGAAATTTTTAAGTTCAACTTGGTTTCTTAGGTTTCTAGGAGACACAAAGATAGACACACAATGGCAGATTTTTTAAGAATTCTGTCATGTCAATATTGGCCGACTAGTATTTATGCAAAAAAAAATTACAAGACAAAAAATATCTGAATAGTTCAAACTGGCAAAATCCTAAAAGACATGAGAATGGAGGGGACTTTAACTAGACCTTGAAATAGGAGCCCTTTCTTTGTTAAAGATGAGGCATAAGACATTCTAGGATGAGGACACAATTCAGATAAGCAAAGGTCCCGGTGCAGAAGAAAGGCAATGTGTGTAAGGGACGGGTCGATGGGTGAAGTCAGGGAATGACCTAGTGAGAAGGGTAAGACATCTAGAGAGTCAAGTAGAGGGCAGATTTTTGAGGCGTTTAAAGCCATGTGAAAGCATTTGTCCATCTTGTGAAGGTCACTGAAATATCAAGAATGAAGGTTAAGTTCGACGAAGTCTAGTTACAGAGCCTCAAAGGAAGAGGAAGGCAGAGCTGCTTCTTCTGCCAATAAAAGTGACTTAGAGCCAGTGAAGTGAACTTCATTTTATTCTCCAATAGCAGAAAGGCCTGATTTTGCTTCTGATAGGCATCACAATCTTCTAGAAAGCACATGAGACCAAAATGACAACGGTGCTTTAAATTTGGGCTCACTTTTGTATCAGAGAAGGATCCTACATGGAAAGTAAAACTAGCTGAGATATTATTATGCATCATGGATGTGACATTTAATCCTCACAACATTTTTAATTAGTTGTGATTGGCCCCTTCATGATGCATTTGAGTCTCAGAAAGGGTCTGCACTTGCCTGGGTTATCAGCTAGTAAGAGGAGATTCAGGATTTGATCATGGTCAGTGAGTCCCAAAGTGGTGCTTGAAGAGTGCATGTTCACTCATCAAATGCTTCCATTGAAAGCCCCCTAGTCCTCACTGATTTAAGTTGTGAACAATTTTCTCTGTTTTTCAAAGAAGATACTAAGGTCCTGAACATTCTCCAACTATCTTGCCCATTGATACCCTACATCAGATAACTTTCTGACAGAAAACAGAGATCCAATTCCCATTTGACAGCAATGGTGCTGAGAAACATGCTTTTCCTGGAATTCTGGGACAGAATTGATGGCCTGACTCCAATCTGCCTTTCCTAGAGCCATTTGCCTTTTCTCATTTCTGACTCCAAGGGCAGATCATGGCTACTTCTTACTCTTTGATTTTTGATGGAGTAGAGATGGGGAGGGGAATCATTTTTCTATTATATATTATTTCCTTAGCCAAAAAGAAAAAAAAGAAGGTCCATAGTTTCCAATTTTAGACTTTTTAGGAAAAGAAATGAGAGGAGGGGCAAACAGTCAAAAATATTTGAAGAAAGAATACATTCCTAAGTGTGAAATTGTTCAGAAAGATGACTTTGTAATAGGATCCAAAGTGTGCATGATAGCTACTACTTACTCTGTTTAAAAAGTTGCAATTAGTACCAAAAGGACTGGATGAAGAAAACATCATATCATCGGCATATTTATAAAACAACTTCCATCAGCCAAAGGAAAAATGGACAGAACTCTATTACAAGCTTTTTATATTTGAAGAGCAATTTCTAATAATATATCTAGAAGCCATTTCTGAAATTGACTTAGTGTGCATGATCTGGGATTAATGTTTTCTACAAAATCACATGCTCGTTTGAACGTAAACATTTTGCACTCCGTTCCACCTCCTGATTCAGAAGAATGCACCTCCAATGTGTAAAATGATCTATCAAAATTAATTGTGAATGCCCTAATCCAATCAAGTCCACCTCATTAGGCAAACATTTAAATTATTAAGTTAAATAGTGGGATATTTCAATATAATCTTGTTATGCTATTTTTATGGCAGTACAAATCCTTGTCTACAGATGGGGTCTAGCTTCCCTGTCTCATTGCTATTGTGGTTGGACTTCTCTTTCTATCACCGGCTTTCATACCTGTGCTAATTTGTCCCACCACAATCACTTGCTCTTTCTCCCCCTCATAATTACTGGTGAAACACCTACTCAGTTCTAAACTTTGAAAGCTGGAGAAAATCTTCAGGATTAAATCATTGCATCCTTTGGAAGATGCAGGAACAACAGTTCTGAGAGCTTGGGTAATATGTTTTGTGCCTGATACAGCATATTTGTGGCAGAGCTACATGGTATATGTATTTTTCATGCCGAATATAAACTCCTGCTCTCTCTTTTCCCCACTCATCTCAATTTGTTGCCTTGTTCACATCTTTCTAATTTAAATACAAATACATAAATATAGTGGATCAGGTCTATGCCAGCCATATTTTCAATGATCAATTTTTTGCTAAATTACTCTCTTGGTGCTCCCCACCCCCACCAATGCAAGATATATTCCCAAACTAGTTGCTCTTCATAGAGCTTTAAATAGCTTGTCCTTCCTAAATTTCTGCAGCCAGCAAACAGCAATTCATCATTTGCTATTTTCTTGAAGGCCAGCCCAACAGAGACATGTTTGGAAGAAATAAGATCTGGATATCTCGGGCTCCATTCCCTAAATTAGTCTCTGGGCATGCGTATTTTGTGGGGAGGAAGAACAAAAGGGAAACAAACAGGAACCCAAGCAGGTTTGACAAGGGACTGGATGACTGCATTGGTGTTTTCCTGGGACCCAAAGAGCACAAGCCTGCCCTCACCAGACATGGCCTTGGACTAGTCCGCAAGGGGGTGATGTCAGGCTGTCTGAAGATTCAGATTTCACCCCTATCTTTTGAAATAGGTCTAACAGACCTTTAGACTCAGCCCATCTTGTCGTCATAAAGTGAAATAAACAGCTTGCAAAGTGTTCCCCTTTCAGCATCTACCCAGTTATGCCTCAGGCATAACCGGGGATGGACAGAAGATGTTTTCAAGAACTCACAACTGAGAGATCCTTGGATAATCTATATTGCAGGGTTGATCTAGTTTTCAAGTCCAGGCCTTAGGGCTGCACATTTTGTAATCTTATGCATTTTTGCTTTTGTGAGACAATTTCTTTTAGAAAAAAGGAAAATAATTATTTTATTACTGCACTGGTATAAAAAGGAATATATTATTATCATTACATAACAGATTTTCTTCAACTCCATTAGTTTCCATTTTTAAAAGAAAAAAGATGTTTTCATGAGTTTTAAAATTTTTTGAGGTCCCTTGAACTTGCTGTGTTTAACAGCAAAGTGGATGTCCAACCCAAGGGAAGGAGAGCCCCATTCTCTCTTCTCTAGGTGCTGAATGAGCCCTGATCAACAGCCCCAATGCCCAAAAGGCATGCGACTTCTTTAGATCTGGACTAGAAGGAGGAGTTTTGTCTCCTAGCTTTTCGGTTTTCATTTCCTGACAGACAAGGAGTTAAAAATTATTGGGATAAGTTGTCAATTTCTTCCATATCAGTCAAAATCAGGCTTTCCAAGCTGCCCATTAGAGGGGATTACTTTTGTGCCTCATCCACACAGGCATCTTCTTTCTGCTCACATTGCTGTTGGTCATATTTGAAGTGACATTCCTCACACAGTAAAGTCTGGTACCGTCAGAAAGAATAAAAAAGATCTCTCAATGAGAGAGAAAATATAGAGAATTTACTCAATTCATGCACAAAAGGGTCTACAGAACAGCAATTCAAAAAAAAAGTTGGGATTGTCAGGTAGGATAATCCTTACCCATTCCTCTATTCAGAAGGCAGATAGAACATGATGATTGGAGTTTGCATGATTCGTGATTAATGTCTCTACATGATTAGGGCACACAACACCCTAATCCTCCTCTCTGATTCTTAATGAAAACAAAATATTGATAGGTAAAACAGACTCAACAGAAAGATGTGGATAGTCTTTGTTTAAAAAAAGACTATAAAAATTTAAACTGTTCACCTGACTAGTGGGAGTGTAACTTAGTACAAATGCTTTGGAAAACCATCTACTATAGTTGAATACACATGCTACGTGATCCAACATTTCCACCTTTAAATATTAGGTTCAACAATGCGCAACTGCCAATATTTGACTGCATTTGCACCGCAAAACTGGCTGTTTAATTTGATTCTACCTAGTATATATACAACAGAAATGCATACATATGTTCATCAAAAGTCATGTATAAGAATGATCTAGCATCACTGTTTATAATAATAAACAGCAGATACTGCAAAGAAGCATCAAAACCAGAATGGATAAATAAATTGTGACTTGTTCATATAATAGAATGTTGCATGCAATAAGAATAAGTAAATTACTACTACATATGACAATTTGGATGGATCTCACAAACACAATGCTGATTGAAAGAAGGCAAATGCAACAAGGTATACAACATATTAGTCCATTTACACACAATTCAAAATGTATGCATAAATACTACTAATCCACATTATCTGTAGTCAGAAATGGCTTACTCTAGCTAATGGAGAGTAGACACTGACCTAAAGGCACAGAAGAGGTCAGTGATTTGGGAACTTGATTTGGGGACTAGTTTTATGTCCTGTGTGTACTTGAAATTCATCAAGCTATAAATTATGAGTTCCACATTTTTCCTTGTGTAAATTTTCTCCTAAAGTATTTTTTTAGCTTAAAAAAAAAAAAGACTGCGGAAGGAGTCCAGCAGCTGTTGGGGTAGAGAACACCAGCTGGCTCTGGGAGGTCTGCTCTCTGCCCTCCAGTTCTTGTTTGTGCCTTAGTAGATTTTTAAACCATTACCTAATATTGGCTCTGTTCCAATTGCTTCACATGTTTTATCTCACTTAATCCCTCAACTCAACATCCACATAGATCCTATTATTATCCCCATGCAATGGGTGGAAAGTGGAGAAACAGAATCTTAGCATCTGAATAATTTGCCCCAATGCACTTAGCTACTGAGTGATAGGCCAGTGTCTAGCCCCAGAGTTGGGTTTCCTCCCAGTACTCATCATGCCTCTTCCTGCCCCAGAATCAAAGTCTTTGGGAGTAGAACAACTAAATGTGGATTCAGTTCCTCCCTCTCTGTACTCCATCTATTTGCACACATCCCTGTTCTTGTGCCTGCCCACCAATGTGGTGGCTCTTGAGATTCCTCAAAGAATTTAAAGCCCTGAAATTGGAAGTGACTCACCCAATTCACCCAGAAGAGAGATGGTCTTCTCCATGATGCCTGATAGACACAGACTCAGCTGTCCCACAAGACATTTAGCATCATTGTGCCTTATGCCAGGGATATCCCAGCTCCATCTTTTTGCATCTAATGCTGCCCTTGACTTCACTTCTCAACTACTCTTTAAGTTATGTGTTATTTAATATGGAAATATAACATATATAAAATTAAGTAACCCAGTGCCACAAGAAAGGCAAAACTCAGCTTCTGCCTTTGTCTCGGACCACAGAGTCAGCCTTCTATAATTCCATTTAATGATGTTCAGTGAGAGAGAGAGAGAGAGAGAGAGAGAGAGAGAAAAGAAAGCCAGAAGAGAGAACTTTCTGTATGGAGCATGCAAGTCTCATTATGTACTCTCTTTCCTCTGAGCATAGGAAACAGCCGTGGGAAAAGAGTGTTATTCTAATCTGCCTGCTGAAGCATCTCAGGGCTCAAGTAGGTTGACAGTGTTGGCTGTTGTTTTCTGAGACTGGGTCTGGTGAGGCAGGCAAACCCAAGCAAATTCTTGTCTCTTTCATAGTATTCATTTCAGCACTCCAGGACCACTGCATGGGGTGTGGAGATCCTCAGGCTCTAGGTGCTGGGATTGATGGCACATACTGCTTTGCTGGCAGTGCCATCACCTTTTCACAGGGGCAAAAGGGTGACCTTTACCAGACAGTACGTTTTCCTGTGTACCTTTAGCTGTCTAGATGGCAGTCTAGCTCCAGCTCAGTCTCTTGCTTCATGTGACATCCGAATAAATTCTTGCTACCTCTGACTCTCAGCTTGCCCAGTTGTACAGTGAAAGAATAGATTAGCTGATGCCTTTTGGGATTTCCAGTTTCAGTCCTCTGGTAATGACAAGGAGGTCTTAGATATCTAGTGTCATTGCAGAAACATTTTTACCTCCAAATGGGGGAGTTACAAAAGACTTTGTTTTCTTGGTCGCTGACTCAGGTGGAGCTTCGCAGGACAGAGTCAGCCACCAGCCTGATCTAGTAATAAGGGAAAACATAGAAATCAATGGGTGGGTGCAAGAGCCTATGGGTCAGGTCCACCATAGGCCTGGGGTACTGGCTGGCCAGAGGAAAGGTCCAAGTAGATGAAATCTAAAAGGGTGCCCATGAAGTTATAGCTTCATGCTCAATTGCAAGAATCTTCTCTTTTATGCATACATTGTTAGAGTGTGGAGTTGACCACCCCTCAAGGACAGAGAACAGAGTCGATAATGCAAATCACATAGTGGGGTTTATTGTTTCAGCTAGCTAGGGTCCAAGTATCCACCCAATGCAGCGGGCTTCAACAAGGACCCCAAGCACTAAATTCATCGAGTTCTTATGCTTTCATTTTGGCAAGAAAGCATTACTCTGCAATTTTCTATTACCTATAGAGTACACATGTATTTTTGTTGTTGTTTTGGCCTGCAACATTTAGCCCACCTCCCTGACAGTTACATTCCAGAGACTTAATCTGATTCTGGGGGTGTAATCTCTGCTTTTCTTGTTCCTGGAAGAAGCTTAGGTCACTCAGAAAGCTACAAAGCCTGTCATGGTGGTTCTCCAGCTAAGTGGGTCCTAACAACGTATTCTACCTCGACCTACTTACCCCAGTGATCCCTGTCACTGAAATGTTCTTTATCTGGAATTTGTATACTTTGAAGTGGTCTGTAAAGTAATATGTGTAGGTGAATACAGGCATTCTTATGGAGTGAAAGAATTTCATTAGATTCTCAAAGAGTTTAGTCACACACACACACACACACACAGACACACACAGGCACACAAGCTTAAGAGCCGTACTTTCAATTCAAATACAACCTCTTTCCATCTCCCCTTCCCAATTAAATTCTTCTAAAGGGCATCTTGAGCTATTGGAGTCACTTCCTACTTGATCGTTTTGGCTTCTAATTCAGCATCTATAGAGCTTTCCTGGTGTTCTTCTATTCTGCTTTGCACTTTAGTTTTGATATGTTTTTAGATATAGTTCTAAGAGTTTTATTTATCTTGGAAGACCCATTCATATGTGCCCTGATTCCTTTTTCAGTCTCCCCTCTGGGCAATACGCTACCCTGTGCACCTTTAGCTGTAGCTACACCCTAAGGCATCCCAGTTTCACAACTTGCATCTTCCATTCCCACAAAGGGAACCGTCCTGCCTTTCTTCATGGGTTGGACTCTTAGGATATTAATGTTTCATCTGTAAATAAGTAAAGAAATAAATGCTTCATCTGTGTTGTTCATGCCATTCTCCTATTAACACATAAGAATGTATCACGCATGTAGACACATAGTAAATATTTGCCAGGAATAAACAAATGAAATCAATTAATCCTTTAACAGAGTTTTCCAAACTTATTTGGCTAATTGCCCCCTTTTCAGGAAAAAAAATCAGTCAAGAACAATGATTATGGTAGGGCACTTGTCTTGCATGTAGCAACCCAGGTTTGATCCTTTGCACCACACAGTAGTCTCTAAGCACCACCAGGAGTCATCATTTAGCACAGGCCCAAGTATATGTGACATTTTAAGGTTATGTTTCATTAAGAATTATAATATTTCCCTGAACTGAGACTGAAAGTTCACAGACCAATTTGAGTTTTCTTTGTATTTCCAATACCCAAATCAGGGGCTTAGCAACTGCCAGTTTATTTCAAACAAATGTATCTTGTATGGATGAAGAAATTGTTGCTAAGCCAAGCTTTGTCCCTCACAATCCTATCCATTATTTGAAATCTGTCTCAAATTCTTCCTCCAATAATCTGTTCCTTCTCTTGTGCCAGTTTGATTAGACTTCTAGCTTCTTCCAGTTCCCTGGCATTTTGTTAAACCTTCAGTACTGGAATTATTTTACCTTTACTCATGCCAAAAACCCATGAGGAAGCTCTCTCCTTCTATGCAGATGTCTTAAACCTTGGAGACACATATGTTCATTTCTTACCCATGGCCACCCAGGCCTTTGAATCAACTTTATCATAGTCTGCAGGACTGTAATACGTTACCTGAGACCATTGGTAAATTTAACTGTATTTTTTTTTTCTCCCAACTTTTGGCTTGTTCTATACATTTCCTCCCCTTAGACAAGTGACAGCTTTGCATTTCACCAAAGTTTGCTCTGTAGAGAAGAAAGAGAAAGGCAAGTTGGCTAATTTAGAAGCTTCTGTGAGGGCATTAAGCACCAGGCCTCCTTCCCAGGCATGCATCTCCAACCCAAACAGCTCAGGAAAGACCAGCCAGTCCCCCTCTACCCACCCCCCTCCACACAGGAAACTGAACATAGCCAGTCATTCACACTTCAGAAAAAAGAAAGATGCAGAAAAGGGGTGGGGGGAGATCATTATGGGCTGCAGCCATCACACAGTGAGAAGCACTAATTATTCTGTGTAGCCTGAGTTTTTCTTAGTAGGCAAACTCTTTTGAATATTAACAAATATTTATTTAGGAATTAATAATTGACATCTATTAAAGCATAATTTATGGAGAGTGAATTCCTCTTGGTTTGGGTTCCCACTGCTTGACTACATCTGTCTGCTTCCAGGAGCGTCTCTCTCTTTTGTTTAAAGCAAGATTTGGGTGACAGGAACTGCACAGAACAATGTTCATCAGGAGGCCACTGGGTTAGGACCCAGTCCTGACTCTGCCATCCTGCTTGGGTGGCCTAGAGAAAGT